TTATTGTATTAGAAATAAAAAGTCCCTTTCAAGTAATCGACGACGACGACTGGCATAACAACAATAAATGACGGAATTAGTTTGAATATGTACGTGATCGATACTGACAACAAGAGTAACGGTAAAAGAGTATACACTAGCTAATTTTAACCAATATATTCTTAAGATTAGTAGTTACACATAATAGTGGATGTGTACTTATTCTTATTAATTATATATGATAAACAACAACAATAATAGATGAAAATTGTTTTCAATATTTAATGTGTTAGATATGAACTATATATAGTTACCTATCGGTAAATTTCATCAACACTTGACTTACATAGCAGCATAAGTTTCTGAACGAAATTGATCAATTATGATCAATAAAACTATATCTTAATATGATAGTATAATTACATAATTTGTTTCTCGTACAAAGAAACAAAATCAATCATAAAAATGACGTGTAAAATGATTAGAAAAAATGACTAATTATTAAATGCAAAATTTTCATTAAAACGATAATAATTAGCAAAAAAAGATGTCAATATTCATATGGAACACCATCAAATAATTTAGAAGATGGTGTGTGTGTGTGTCCTTGTCGTTGTTTTATCTGTAAATGAACAGACCAACGATAAAAAGAATTATGAACAACGATGAGTATAGTGCCGTAACCAGGACCCTTCAAGTGGATGGGCGAGCGATCACGTAATAACCGAACACTAGTATATATTCGAATATTACGTGATCGCTCGCCCATCCACTTGAAGGGTCCTGGTTTCGCCACTAGATGAGTATCATCCATCATATTTATCTTTCTTCATTGTCAACTATTAAGTGGTAGTTTGATCGACTCAAATAAATCAAAATTATAAAAATCGATTTCGATAAATCAAAAATTTTAATATACATTTACAAATTCATTCTCATCAATCAAAATTTAAGTGGGTAAGTTAATAAAGAACACTTCGTTAATCGGTTATTGTCTTCAATCTATGAATTACTCTCTATCTTTTTTTGTGTCTTTCTCTCTCTCTCAATTTCGATCGTCTCCTTCGTGTATAAATAGCCGATGATCTCAAGCAAAAAATATCATTTTCATTGTCGTCGTCGTCGTTGTCATCATTGAAGTTTATCGATTGTTATTGAAGACTTTTTTTCAACTGTTTTTTATTACAATAACTTGGTATGTATTTCTTTGAATTCTATGATTATTATTTTTTTGCAATGGTATTTATCCACCACATATTATATTATGCATATCAACGGCTGTTGGTATGAATCATTCTCTCGATTCAACAATTTGTGATAATTGTACACCAGAGATGGGATCGGTTCGGTTCGAGAAAAACACGAACCGATCCCATCTCAGATTCAATCATGACGACAACTATTGCCATGCAATTAAAATAGACAGATCAATATATTTTCTTATTTTTCTGTATTTATAGTGTGAAATAAATTCTTTAATAGAATAAAATAAACAGCAGCATGAGACGCGTTATATTCTTCTCTTTCTTCCATTTCAATTGATTACTTTTTAGATTTGTTTTCTATATCTACCAGGATTAATTTTAGACTATTTATATTTGATATTAATACTCACAACACCAAATCCAATTAGAATGGTTAATTATGATAATTTTGTCTCTGGTCAAAATATTAGCAGTCAAGAATCACATTCAAATGAAATAATGCAAACGAACGACGACGAGGACGTAAGATTAGTTCAATTAATACTGATCTTAGTATATACCAATATAAGTAACATATGTTTCTTTACTTTATTCTTATTCAAGTCCTTTAATCGATGGTTCGATGAACTTCCTTCAATAGCACTTTCTACAGAAACACCTAACACCAATCATTCAGAGTGCAATAATATTAATAATTCTGATACAAGTATTATAAATATGAATAATGATACATATCAAGAAGTCGATGCCGTTGATGGGAATATGGATTGCAATGAAATCGTAAATAATCAATCTGTGGATAATTGCTCGAATGAACAAATCCCAGCTGATGATGATTTATCTTGTGAATGTAGTAGTAATATTCCAATGGTGCCTGATCAAGGTAATAATATAGTATATATGTGCACTTTTTTTGTTCTCATTCTAAATTTTTATGATGCATAATTAATCATAATCATTATTTTAGCTCTTCAAATGGTCTGCTCAGATCCTTCGGTACAAAATAATAATAATAATTTATCTCAATTGATATCGTCATCATCATTCTCAATAATTTCTGAAACAATGGAACTTACTGATTCGACATTAACTACAGCAATTACAAATGATTCAAATCAATCTAGTCATACAGCACTGATAACATCATCTCTTGATCCATCACTAAATCAAACAGATAATATAACTGATTTTAATAGTTCTTATTGTAAATATAGTGATCTTGATCGTCCAGCTATTGCAAAATTATATGAATTCAATCTTCAACACCCATCAGCATCTGATCTTCGAGAACCGATTCTATTAAATACAAAATCATTGGCTATTATATCATGGACTAATGTTTCCAAAGACGTTGTGATGGATTATATTAAACAAGAATTTAAAAAAAAATTTCAATATATTTGTATTAGCGAAGAAATAAATGAATTAAATCATCAAACTCATTTGTACATACAAATTATCTTTAAAAATAAAATTAATAGAAAAACACGTTTGCTTGATCAAATTACACAAACATACTGCAATTATAAAGTCACCGACTACATTTCGGCATGGAATGGTTATATTAAAAAAGATCTATATTGCCTCGAAATTGGTCAATTTCCAACAAAAATACGTGGATATAAACAGAATCCACCATCAGAAGTAACAGAAAAACAAAAAGCCACAAGAAAAAAAGCAATAAAAGCAAAATCAACCACCAAAAAGGGAGCCAAAACAAAAGCAACAACAAGACAAACAGCTGCATCTTGTATTTCAATTCCAATTGATTAGGGCTTTTTTTTCTCTGAATAAAACATATTCAATCAAAAATATTTGTTTTAATTTCTTCTTTTTTTTTCTTCTTCTTTAATGAAAACAAAGTTGTAACGGAAATAAGAATAATGTATATAAATAATGTGTATATATCTTTTGTATCCACAAGTGCTTTAAGATTTATGTCTCTACTTATGTTATTCGTTGTTATTATTATTATTATTGTTATTTCAGCATCATATTTATTCTAGTCTGTCGAAGTGTTTGTTTTTCTTTTATTACACTAATAAACCATCTGTGATGAGTTATTTCATCATGATTATGTATTATATATATTCAAATGATTACAATCGCAAAAGTAGCAATGCAAAACAAAAAGTGATTTAGTGTCTTTTCATCAACTTTCATATAAACTATAAATGCAATGAAACGATTTCAAAAGAGATATCGTTTAAAATTTACGTTGCAAAAAGTTCATTGATCAAACAGTTCTACTAAATATTATGTAACTAAACGTATATTCATTACTTATATTTTACAATGGTGGTTCTTTGATCTTCGAGTTTTTTGTGATTCACTGCCTTACTATGATTTCATTCTTTCTTCTCTATGTTATCCACTTAGCTATGCTGATCAATAAAAATGCGTAGGTGATCAAATTATGCTTTTCTTAGAGTGCTTACTAGCACCCTTACTAGCACCCTTACTAGCACCCTTACTAGCACCCATACTAGCTCCCTTACTAGCACTCTCACTAGCTCCCTTACTAGCACCCTTACTAGCACCCCTACTAGCACCCCTACTAGCTCCCTTACTAGCACCCCTACTAGCACCCCTACTAGCACCCCTACTAGCACCC